GTGGCTCAAGATTTTATTTTTATTCTTTGTTTGCTCGTTGTTCGTTTCATGATTTGTTGTTGTTCAGTTTACATGTTGCAAAACATGTAATAAAGTTGAAGTCGCTGAACCTTGCTACGCACAGGCTGCATCTTGAGGACAGCCTGGGCGGAGATAGCACTCGGGTACCAGCCCGTTGTCGTGCACTTTTGCGGGGAGCAGATGGTACGTTACTCAGGTACGACCTCGTTCGCCTCACTGGTGGCAAGGATCGTCCTTGGAGGTGTGCAGCGCATATCTCCTATACAAATCCTTCATGAGTAGTGTTGTATATGGGTAATTGGAACTCAGTTTCCAATCTTTTAAGTTCGGATAACTTATGTGTAACATCTCGGATTGAGATGGGGCCGTGGCAATGATGTAAGTACCTAAGGACAGGTCGTAAAAGTGGATGCATCTGGTGATATCCCTAGGTGTATCCTTAGGTACTTGTGGTTCTCTCACGAGACCATACACTGTGGCCACGCCCCCATCTACTGTCGATCCGTTGGCTGATCGAGCTGATCAGTCAGTCTGGAGTTTTGCCGAGCTCACGGAAGGTGAGCAGATCGGTCTCTCCCGGAATCGGGAGGGGAGTTTCCCAACGTCGTCGCGGACGGTTTGTGACTCTACGTGGTAGAGGGCTCCCCCTGGCTCAAGGGAAGTGTCGCGACGATGCGAGCTTCAGTCTCTTCACTCGGTGAAGAATGGATCTTTCCCTGTGTGGAAAGTAGATGTGCAGTAGTGCGTAAGATACGGTTACGCTTGGATGCACAGAGTACCAAAGACAGGGTGTAGATATCTTCCTTCGCTGAAACCAACGCTGAGTGGCAGAACTTCTGGAAATTGTGGTATCCGAAGAGTAAAAATAGAAGATGCAGTTGAGGTATTCAAGTTTCCGGTCGCGCCTCAGGTTTCATGTGCTTCCTAATCGAAGCAGAAGCAAATTCCAAAAATATTTCCTATGATTACGCATAAGAGCGGTTGGTGAAGCAGCCTAATTCAAATGGTGTGCAGGCGACGCGTGATCCCACAACGAAGTGGATGACATACGCCCGAGTAACTCATCCGTTATTTTTTTCAGGTAGGTTTAGGCGACAGTGGCCTATTTGTGAGCCCATCAACCTGAGACTAGATCTTGCAGCGTGTTTCATGCGAATTTTTGTGATTTAGGCGCAGTTATTTAGATTTAAACCCCGAGCTTGTACGGGCATTCAGCTAGGAGAAGGTTATTGCAAGGTTTTACGCTACTTTGTCATGGTAATCAACCAATGATAACAACAATATCAACGAATAATAATGGCAAACAATGCAATATGTCATGTAACAATGAGTTTCAATGTTATGACCAATGTATACCATTAATAAAACCCTCAGAATTAGTATTTAGTAGTAACCTGTTCATTACAATCTGATACATAGACATTTTGCTTGTCAACACAGCTGGAATGGAATAATCAGGACTAACAAATTTCTGAAACTGCACGCATGGCAGCACGCTCATTTTATATTTATTTCGCAATGTTCGATGACACAAGAGGAATATTTCTTTAGCTTCTGGGATAACATAATTATGAGGACAATCACGAGATTGAACTAGAGCTGAGTCATTGGCATTTTTTGAGGAATACTTGAGTTACATTCACCTGTATCACCTGTGCTCCCGTTGATCATCGAGTTCCTCGAGCGGGCGCCAGTAACGTCTCCATTCGTCCCTGCAACGTGCAAGAGTTGCCCAATGAACTCTCTCTGCTCGAGGGACACGATGAACTTCATACCATTCGTTCAGAGCTTTCACGAAGAAGTCTGACCGGTCGTCCAGGCGTTCGCTTGACATCCCGTGGAATCCAGTCGGTGATCGCTCTGGTCCAGGTCGTCCTCGAAACGCATGACGTGCCCGGCCCACCTCATCTTCAAAATGTTGGCAAAAAGAACCGCGGAATCGAAGAGGTGGGCACGGAGCTTGGTGTTCTTCGTCTTCTTCGCTACTCCCTCGATGTTCTTGAAGGCTCCCCAAGCCGCTCGCTTCCTTTCAGCTCTGGTGCTAAGTCATTCATCATATTGATTTCACGACCAGGTACACATAGCTAGAGCATTCAGAGATGGGATGAGGGATGAGCTACATTATCCTTTGTTCATTCCTTAAAGATGGATAAATGCGAAACGCTCTTCGTGGGTCGAATAAAAACTCGTAAAACAGTAAATTGAATGGTTTCTTAACAGATCGCGTCCCATTTTCGATTCTTCTTAATCTCCGTTTAATTGCTCTGCTCGAAAACGAAAACACTTGAATGTAAGCTTTTAATTTCTCTGCACAGAACACTAGGCAATGTAGTCTTATGACTTGATTTTGTATTCCAATATAAATTGTTGCTGGCCGGCTCTGTTGAACATGATTATGGGCACGCGATTTGAGGCCGAAACAAGCACTGCGTCGCGATAGGTTGGTGAGCAGAATCTGCAAAAGAGAATCACTGAGTGATAGGCAAACTGTATTTTCGACCGCCAATTTACCGGTATCCAGTTCGAGTTTGATCGTCAGTGGTCTTGATTTCCACGCCTCCTAGAATGCAGCCGTCATGAGCGTAGCCGTGTGAAATAGATTTGACCGTAATTTCAATCTTCTTTCCTTCATCAGCCTGGAAAAGTCCAGATCCAACTCATGAACATGTTTCAACTGCCTTTCATCGCATACCTCGATCCAGTAGTTGCAGAATTCGAACTCGTCCCTTACACCACCAAAACCAAGTCTTTTGACGATGATCTGCTTGCGCTCTGTCGCTTTCAATGTATCTCCGCATCCAGGCGGCTACAAAATGCGGCATTACTGGAGGGTTTCTTTCAACGCTCCCTTAGCTTACTCGCTTGTCGCAGAGAGTGCCACCATAGCCGCTTGGACAAATACATTCAGAGCACTTTCGTGGATGAGGGAATCCTCCATTTTGACACTTCGCTGAGGTCGCATTCGGGCACTTTGCTGAACAGAAAAGTGGTCTAACCCCTAGTAGACTTGCCACGGCTCTCCTACCTTTGCAATTGTAGTGATCGTTTATCATAGACTTATCAATGAATGAAATGATCTGCGAGCCCATCGACTCCTGGTACCTTGTATCATTGGCTACCATTGTGGGTTTCTTGTTGTGAGAGGCGCTGAATCATTGGGTATATTTGTACCCCAGTTCACACAATGCTGTGATTTATATTCACCTGGCTGCTCCGTAATGCATAATGCTACCATAATCATAGGTAAATCCATAGTTGGTAGTGGTTTCGTTTGTCTCTTTCACGTTATTATATACGAACACTTCCCTGGAGACGGTAGAATTTACTTGGTCTTGTGTTCTTATTGTAGAGTGTGTATATGTGACTTACCACAACATTATCAAGAACGACTGTAATAAATTCATCACGATCGTATCGTGACATGGTGTGGAAGAGCCCAAGCGCGTGACCGAGTTCATGTGTAGCGATTCCAACCTTAATTTTGTGCTACGGTAAGCGGAGAGCGATTGTTACGTGAGAATTCATGTCAGTTCCATAAGTTTCTCGAGTGAACCTCACAAAGGTATCCACCTCTTACCTGATCACAGCCGTCACCAAGTGAGAGAGGTTGCTCACCACCGACCCGTCCTACATACGACCAGCAGCCATCTTCCTTGATTAGCACAATGCTGTTTTCAGCTGAAATGTCATCTATTGGTCATCTCACCACCGACGCTTCTTCAACGACGAGTGAACCTTTTTTGTCCTTATCTTCGGTGAAGTTGAGGCATGTTGCTTCTTCCCATTGTTTCACCCCCTTTTCGAATATTCGCTTTGTAATGAAGTCTATAGTACTTTTGTTTTGTGAACACTATCAACTGACTCAATGCAAATGAGGTCTAAGAAAAATAAAACTCTGAAACTGACCTACACCATCGTCGAAGCGGTAGAAGACTCCTTGTTGCCATGTGGTGTTAGGATATGCTTGATCTCTGAACGCTTGTCTTTTAGATCGAGCGGACGTTCCTTCGACGGCTTCCATTACTTCTTCTTGTTGCCTCCTGAACATGGCTAATTCAAAGAGTGTTTTGTGCCTTATAGAGCGAGCAGATCAACTGACTTCGTCAGTAGGATATCACTCTGGAAAAGAACTTTGCCGACGTTCTTTCCTGAATTGATTTCAAATATCGTGTCTTTCAAGTCTTCAACGGTATCATCTCGTCTCTCCTCAATTTCCTAAAATAATTGCGCTATCAGTAGATAATGATTCCACTGATTTCATTTGTGCACTTACCTTGAGCTTGCGATCAATTTCTGCTTTCTTTTCATTCGATAGTTGAAGCTTTTTCATCATCTTACTTCTCAACTCAGTCAATTTGCTGCCAAGTGAAAGAACGCCAGTCTTTTCGAAGAGCTTAAAAGTGCCGCAGCGCTTAGTAACTTACAACTTCCAAAGTATCCGTCAGCGTATACCTTTTTGAACTTCGAGAGTGTTGCGGCTTTAATTTTTTCGCCGAGATTTCCTCCTTTGAAGAATTCTTTGACTTTGCCAAGATCCAGCAAACCTGCGTGGGTCGCCACAGCTAAGAAGAGCAGAAGCAGTATGAGCCTCATTCCTGAACTTCCAGATGAAATGTCATCTTCTAAAAAGGTCTGAAAAGCAGTGAAGAGTGTGAGTTCCTAGGAAGGGACCAACTGTGAAGAGCGTAGGCCGATGAGGAAGGAGCTACCCTTCACTTTTATACACCAGTACGCTATGCTTGCCGAGTTTGAACAACTGCCCCGAACCAATTCTATGTACAGAAACAAGACTCTGCTGTGCGGTGTGACTGCTTGACACTGATTTGTACATCTGTTTCCTGTGACCTCATCAGGGAGGATCCTCTTCGCGGGAAAAGCACCGCTTTTAGAAGGTTAGGCATCGCAATGAATAATAGGGGTGGAAGGTTTATTCGAATGGTCGGATTGATAATAATTGATAATTGATATTCTATGTGAAGCAGTCATGGCGGACCTCATATAGACTATCCTGCTGTTTGGATCCTATGATTTCATCGAAGCCAATCTGCACCGCGGAAGGGCACTGGGTTGTATCACGATTGTCATAGTGTTTTTACTGTAATGCCTATTTCATGGTTGAAGCGAACAAGAAACCATTGACGTTAAGCAGCACCGAAACAGCTGGTCTTGCATTGATGTTTGCTCCTTTTCGCCTTGCCATGAATGTTTGATTCAATGACTTAGAAAATGTAGATCATACAGGCCGAACACCGACAATTTCGCGCGAATATCTTTCTGCTGTCACATAGTCAAATGTGTGATTACTGTGTGTTCTGGTAGACCTTCCACCCCTATTATTCATTGCGATGCCTAACCTTCTAAAAGCGGTGCTTTTTCCCGCGAAGAGGATCCTCCCTGATGAGGTCACAGGAAACAGATGTACAAATCAGTGTCAAGCAGTCACACCGCACAGCAGAGTCTTGTTTCTGTACATAGAATTGGTTCGGGGCAGTTGTTCAAACTCGGCAAGCATAGCGTACTGGTGTATAAAAGTGAAGGGTAGCTCCTTCCTCATCGGCCTACGCTCTTCACAGTTGGTCCCTTCCTAGGAACTCACACTCTTCAATGCTTTTCAGACCTTTTTAGAAGATGACATTTCATCTGGAAGTTCAGGAATGAGGCTCATACTGCTTCTGCTCTTCTTAGCTGTGGCGACCCACGCAGGTTTGCTGGATCTTGGCAAGTTCAAAGAATTCTTCAAAGGAGGAAATCTCGGCGAAAAAATTAAAGCCGCAACACTCTCGAAGTTCAAAAAGGTATACGCTGACGGATACTTTGGAAGTTGTAATTACTAAGCGCTGCGGCACTTTTAAGCTCTTCGAAAAGACTGGCGTTCTTTCACTTGGCAGCAAATTGACTGAGTTGAGAAGTAAGATGATGAAAAAGCTTCAACTATCGAATGAAAAGAAAGCAGAAATTGATCGCAAGCTCAAGGTAAGTGCACAAATGAAATCAGTGGAATCATTATCTACTGATGGCGCAATTATTTCAGGAAATTGAGGAGAGACGAGATGATACCGTTGAAGACTTGAAAGACACGATATTTGAAATCAATTCAGGAAAGAACGTCGGCAAAGTTCTTTTCCAGAGTGATATCCTACTGACGAAGTCAGTTGATCTGCTCGCTCTATAAGGCACAAAACACTCTTTGAATTAGCCATGTTCAGGAGGCAACAAGAAGAAGTAATGGAAGCCGTCGAAGGAACGTCCGCTCGATCTAAAAGACAAGCGTTCAAAGATCAAGCATATCCTAACACCACATGGCAACAAGGAGTCTTCTACCGCTTCGACGATGGTGTAGGTCAGTTTCAGAGCTTTATTTTTCTTAGACCTCATTTGTATTGAGTCAGTTGATAGTGTTCACAAAACAAAAGTACTATAGACTTCATTACAAAGCGAATATTCGAAAAGGGGGCGAAACAATGGGAAGAAGCAACATGCCTCAATTTCACCGAAGATAAGGACAAAAAAGGTTCACTCGTCGTTGAAGAAGCGTCGGTGGTGAGATGACCAATAGATGACATTTCAGCTGAAAACAGCATTGTGCTAATCAAGGAAGTGGTCTGGTTCGCTGTGGCTCAAAGCGGACGCATGCGAAAGCACGCCATTGTCCCACGCGGCGCTTTCCCGCAAAACGCGATTGTCGTTAACGTGTTAAAGTGAAAATGGTATATCAAAATGTGCGTTGAGGTTGCGAAATGTTCCGTAGATGTCACCTCAGTGAAAAGTTAGCATAAGCACAGATTTGTGCCACAGTGGAGAGACTCTGTCCACAATGCAAATGGATTCAGAGACAACACATCGTAAAATCACAATTGTATCCGCTCACTCCTTGAAAATGGAAACACTTGAATGAAGCTTTTAATTTCTCTGCATAGAACACTAGGCAATGTAGTCTTATGACTTGATTTTGTATTCCAATATAAATTGTTGCTGGCCGGCTCTGTTGAACATGATTATGGGCACGCGATTTGAGGCCGAAACAAGCACTGCGTCGCGATAGGTTGGTGAGCAGAATCTGCAAAAGAGAATCACTGAGTGGTAGGCAAACTGTATTTTCGACCGCCAATTTACCGGTATCCAGTTCGAGTTTGATCCTCAGTGGTCTTGATTTCCACGCCTCCTAGAATGCAGCCGTCATGAGCGTAGCCGTGTGAAATAGATTTGACCGTAATTTCAATCTTCTTTCCTTCATCAGCCTGGAAAAGTCCAGATCCAACTCATGAACATGTTTCAACTGCCTTTCATCGCATACCTCGATCCAGTAGTTGCAGAATTCGAACTCGTCCCTTACACCACCAAAACCAAGTCTTTTGACGATGATCTGCTTGCGCTCTGTCGCTTTCAATGTATCTCCGCATCCAGGCGGCTACAAAATGCGGCATTACTGGAAGGGTTTCCTTCAACGCTCCCTTAGCTTACTCGCTTGTCGCAAAGAGTGCCACCATAGCCGCTTGGACAAATACATTCAGAGCACTTTCGTGGATGAGGGAATCCTCCATTTTGACACTTCGCTGAGGTCGCATTCGGGCACTTTGCTGAACAGAAAAGTGGTCTACCCCCAGTAGACTTGCCACGGCTCTCCTACCTTTGCAATTGTAGTGATCGTTTATCATAGACTTATCAATGAATGAAATGATCTGCGAGCCCATCGACTCCTGGTACCTTGTATCATTGGCTACCATTGTGGGTTTCTTGTTGTGAGAGGCGCTGAATCATTGGGTATTGTGTCACCCTAGTTCACAGAATGCTGTGATTTATATTCACCTGGCTGCTCCGTAATGCATAATGCTACCATAATCATAGGTAAATCCATAGTTGGTAGTGGTTTCATTTGTCTCTTTCACGTATTGATCTACGAAACCTTCCTGGAAGACGGTAGAATTTTCTTGTGTTCTTATTGTAGAGTGTGTATATGTGACTTACCACAACATTATCAAGAACGACTGTAATAAATTCATCACGATCGTATCGTGACATGGTGTGGAAGAGCCCAAGCGCGTGACCGAGTTCATGTGTAGCGATTCCAACCTTAATTTTGTGCTGCGGTAAGCGGAGAGCGATTGTTACGTGAGAATTCATGTCAGTTCCACAAGTTTCTCGAGTGAACTTCACAAACGTATCCACCTCTTACCTGATCACAGCCGTCACCAAGTGAGAGAGGTTGCTCACCACCGACCCGTCCTACATACGACCAGCAGCCATCTTCCTTGATTAGCACAATGCTGTTTTCAGCTGAAATGTCATCTATTGGTCATCTCACCACTGACGCTTCTTCAACGACGAGTGAACCTTTTTTGTCCTTATCTTCGGTGAAATTGAGGCATGTTGCTTCTTCCCATTGTTTCGCCCCCTTTTCGAATATTCGCTTTGTAATGAAGTCTATAGTACTTTTGTTTTGTGAACACTATCAACTGACTCAATGACAAATGAGGTCTAAGAAAAATAAAGCTCTGAAACTGACCTACACCATCGTCGAAGCGGTAGAAGACTCCTTGTTG